ATAAATTTTCCAAATACAAAGCAATAAATCGGACATAAACAAATATAAATACCTGTAGTGTCTATCATGGGCACGCAATCGATAATGATACATTATGGAAAGATATATTTGCGTACAAGTATGGAAAGCGAGAAAACTCTCCCTATTTGGAAAAAGAAAATTTATTATATGTAAGGTAGGTTAAGAAAAAGAATATCATGGCATACCAGATAAATATTTGAAAGGATTAAAAGAGGAATTTCTATCGATTGGGGTAAAATATATTATTATAAAATTGAATGTAGTCTGTTCAGAACAATCAAAAGGGGGAGGGGTGAATATAATGGATGTATCACTATTCATAATGATCATACAAATAAACTTGATATACAAACCTATGCTAACAAACACTACTACATGGAATGATATAGGAATTACATTAGTTGAACTGTTATGCAAATGTTCTGACACCAATTTCTGAATCGTGCTCTCTCTCTCTCTCTCTCTCTCTCTCTCTCTCTCTCTCTCTCTCTCTCTCTCTAATAAAAAGACGCATGTTCTTATCATATACATTTAAAGGAGGCTGCAAAGGAGGTTGTGAAAGAAACTGCTAAAGCGGCTGGAAAGAAAATTATGAAGGAGGTTGCTAAGGAGACTGGAAAAGAAGCTAGGAAGGAAGCTGCTGAGGAGGCTGGAAAGGAAATTGTGAAAGGAACTGCTAAGGAAACTTTTAAAGTAGTTTCAGGTTACGCTGTTCAGATAACTGCTAAAGCGGCCACAAATGAAGTATAGTTTGTTAAAATGATTATATTATGTGCACCTGTTCAAATGTATGCTTAAAATATTCACCTAAACTAAAAACCTTAATTCTGATAATGTGACCTTACCTAAAATATGATTAATTTGTTTTTCAAATTTAAAAACATAGGATTTACTTGTTCGTTGTGATTTACAGATTTCTTCCTTGTTATATGTAAGACATCTTAAAATGAAGAAACTTGTTTATGACAATAAGATAAATCCCAATGCACCAGATCGAAAAGCTGCATCACACACGTCAATATATTATCTAAATTACTAGGAAAATTTAAAGTTTAGTCTTGAATATTTTTTTAGGCTTTTTCAGAAATTGCTTAAACCTCATTTTGATAGTTTACCACCTTGCACTATTCTAAGCCTATCCTGCTCATATTGAACATATGCATTGCGTAAATGGATTTAATTCTCGAAGGCTTTAGCCTGAGTGAAATATATCCATTTATGCAATAAACAGGTACAATTTGGGACGTCAGATAAATACAAATGTGTAGTATTGTAATAATTACACATTTTAATTGTTCTTTATATCCATTTTAGCTAACCTGGCCCAAAGGGCCATATGAGTTTATGCAATAGCACAGCGTCCGTCGTTCGATGTTCGTCGTCCGTCAACGTTTTTCTTAAGACGCCACCAGTACTTAACAATCAGTGGATTTTGACCAAATTAAGCTTAGAGCATCTTTGAACAAGGGTTTATTAATTAATTTTGTATAAACGGATTGTATGGTCCTCCAAGGGAGAGATTGGCAGGTCCTAACAGGGGAAAAATAGGTAAATTTTCCCAAAACATTTCCTCCTGTTACAAAGGAGGGATTTACCCAATATGTGGTCTAGAGCAACCATGACCGAATAGCTTTCAGTGTTGTATAAATGCAGGATTTGGACTTCTTTGGGACAGAGCAGTGGACTCAATAGGGGGAAAAGAAAAATCTCCATAAAGTTTCAACAACATCCTGGAATATTTTCCACGTTTTCCTAAACCAAAGGGACTATTTCCAGCTATGTTAAAATTACAAAGTACCCTGCTCCCTCATAAGTTTTGTTTCAGAAATGCTACGAGATTTATGTTGCTCTTTTAACTGTTTTCAATCCTTCATAATCTGGAGTTATTACTTTTAATAACTCTACTAATTGGTAATATGATTAATTAACTTAACTACAGCATGGGGGTCGAACAATGGAATACTAGCCTGAAAGTATTTTTCTGAAAAAAACGTATTTTTTGCATCGTTATACTTTGGAAAGGACATTTTCTTTCATGTATTGCTTACATAATATATTTATCATCCTGAATGTGAGTTTAATCGTACATTTTGTGAAAATTTTAGTATAAAATATAGGATTAAGCATTCTTATTATTCTTATATACCAAATATTTTAATAGTATAAAGAAGTGATGTTTTTTCAAATATGTATACAGAAATTCAGTCCAAATAAAGTGGTAGAAATAATTCATTTTTTTTACAACAAAGTACCCTGTGTACCAAAAAAGGTGAATGGCCTAAGGTACCTCCCTCGCGTCCACCAAAAAGCAATGCAGGTAATTGGTAATGAAATTAGTTGCAAGCCTATACTTCAGTGCATGTTAGGTCACAAAAAATAACAATCAATTTAGAGATCAAATGTAATATCCTTGTCACTTTTTAGAATTTGTTATTATAACTGTTGTTATTATTTTTTATACATTTTATCATCAGACTTTCGTTTTTACATTGTTTAAGGGGAAATTGCATACTCATTTGTTAATATCAATCTCATAATGAAAAGTAAATGTATTGGTGAAGGTCGCCATCGTATCTTCGAATACATATCATACTCTTGCATCTTGCAAAACATTATCTGTAAATGACAACAGCTGTAAATACGGCGTCTAAAGTTAAGAATATATAAAAACAAAGTAACAAACAAACATACAATCTCTGAGTTCCATTGATATTGCAACGAAACTTTCTGGGAATCTGACAACTGATTAGGCACTAGAAACAATAGTTTGGTGATCATCTTGAAATGAAATAAACCAACATTTTTTTCCCAAACAGGTTCTCTGTTGATTAAATATTCATTCCATCTAAACTGGATCAAATATTTTCTTCTTTTCTGTTAGTTTTCAGTCATAATGATTAAACTATACACATAGCTATGGATTCTGATGTATAACCCATATGCTCATTTGATCCCTTCTTTGAATCTGTTTCACCACATATTTTGGGGAATATTTTTGTCACTTGTAGTTTATTACCTAGTCCTTTTATAATCAAAATATCCTTGGAATATAAAAGTTATAAGATACTCATATTCATACTCATATTCTAAGATTAACACATGTATGCCTATAAATTATCCTTGCTTGAGATGGCTTCCTGCTGTTGTTCCGTCTGTAAATATCTGATAACTCACCATAGCAAAACATTTTTACATCTATACTGTTGCATACGAACCTAGTTTTGGTTGAATCAAAAACGTTCCTTCAATGCATTATTAGTTTGACAACATTCGTCTTTTAATAAAAATAACTCCATGACTTTTTGAGAATTGCAGTTTTATGCTCCTACGAAAAACGAACTAAGTGCTCATTTACATTTTGGTTGGTGTTTTTGCTGTGATAAGGTTTAGGTCAAAGGAGGGGCCATTTTGGCCAAATTATGTTTTACTTCGAAGTTTTTGCACTTCAATGAACAAGATAAATCCCTTGAGATGCTCTCTGTTATCATTTAATGATAGCACCATTGATGGTTATAGTAAAAGTCAGAATGATCCTACCCGAGAACCTCTAGCAGTGAGCAGCACGTATTCAAATGAATAAGATAGCCATTCAATTTCAAATTAAGTTACAGTAAATTCTCGAAATAACAACATTTCGGAATTTTTAACGATTTATTTTACCTGTTCAAAAGAACATCGTCAATGTATAAACCATCATCACATCACAGTTCACTGCAATGTCATTATCTTCAATATTTTTGTGACCTTAGTGGTTTCTTGGTCAGAGATTATTCAAAAACGCTCATGATTATTATAGCTCACCAGTAAATTGTACCGGTGATCAAACACTTCCAAATTCAAACATTTCAACAGAAAACATAAATAAATTAAGCGAATGATCAACATCATGATCAAAGACATTGCAAACAACTGTCTGTATTTGTAGATTGTGTGAAAAGACTCAATATTAACTATTGACCTATTTACTGGTGACACATTGCCAACAATACTAATGTATGTGTTTATATGATACGAAATCTTTTTGATTACATATGATACGCTCTCCACGTTGCTGATCGATGTTTATTTACAATGGAAAAATACCAATTGATGTACATCCATGTATATATTTGTTTGTATGCAATACATTGTCATGGTTACTATATAATTAGGGCTTTTTAACCTCAGTATGATTACTGATTGTGTTTATGTTTGTTACAAACATCACATATGATACACTGTCAGCGTTGCTCATCGATGTATAGTCAAGTGTGACAAATACTCTACTGATGTTTGTTTGTATTCGACACATTGTCAACGTTACTGATTTTTGTTTTATTTGATATGTTGTCAATGTTGTGTTTATATTATGACACATTACCATTGTGATACATAAATGAGTTCATATGTGACGAATGATAAGCGTTACATATTAATGTGTATGCCCATTTGAAACGCTGTAAGCGTTCCTATTTGATGTTAAATTGCATCGAGTTTTAAAAACGTTACTTTGTAAAATATATTTATATGTGAACTTCAGTCCAGCTTGTGATTGTGATATATAAGTTTTACTAATTGATATTCATAATCGATATGTATTAACGTAAACTATTTCTTTATAGTTGATGTATTTAAGTTTAACATTTTTTCTTATCGATATTTTAAAATATAGCAGCCTATCACAATAAGGTGACATACTGTCAACATTACTTATTAAAATGTAAGTCACGTGACATAAAGTAGGCATTTATATTTCATTTGTCGTTTTCCTGCGACACAATGTCGGTTTTATTAAATGAGTTTAAAGTCAACGCTTTGTCTGCACACCTTATTGATAGATTTTTAAATATCACAAATTCCGAGACGTCTATTTTCTATGGTTGATATAAAGGTTGAAAGATTCTTTCGTATTGATTTAAAAACGATATCAATAATACACATTAAATGTATAGCATTAAAACAATAAAATATAAAATGGAAAAATAAATTCGATTTTAGGTGATATATGTATTTTACTGTATCTCAGATTTCCCTGTGTGCATTTGTAAATACAAAAAAAGGTTAGGAACACAAGCCGCAGTGCTTTGGACAAAGGGTTTCTGCTGCTCCTTTGTTTTTACAAACATTGGTGGCATGATCTAAGGCTTGGCAGTCAACACCGGAATCGTCCATGCATGACGTGCTAGAAGCACCTATCAAGAGATGATAGACTTAATCAGACAGTACAATATTAAGTGTCTGATTTGAAGATAGACAATTTAGGCGACATATGTTTTGAACGAGTAAGCCATTGTAATAAAATGTGATTCTTCTAATATGAATACAGGCAACTTTAGTGTGCGTAAATATTGTTTTATTTGAGCACAAAAAGAAAGAATTGTTGACATAATTGAGCCAATATATAACAAAGTCACAGTGACCTACTTGTCAACTATGTGCTACTCCCTTCGGCCATTTATAATATTTGCAGCTTTAATCGTCAATCATTTGTGATTTTGGTCTCCCCCACGTTACCCCCTCATATTTCGGTATGGTATCCAAGCTGACCTTAATTTCATGTCATATCTTAATGGCATAACCCACCCCAAAAAAAACTCTTATCGGTGATAGCCACCAGAAGGCCCAAATTGGCACCCCTTCTTTCGACTAATCAGAAGCAAATCTGCAGCAGCCATTTTGCGGAAGGTGTTGGCTTTTTTTCCATCTTCAAGAACACCATTAAACTAGTCAATTACACAACCTTTGTTGCAGTCCATCAATCAGAACAGAAATTAGCCTAGCCCGAAATGACTCAGCAAATGATAGGTCATTATTTAGATATGTTCGGAAACTTAGCATCGAATATCATTAGTGTCTACATGTATTATATGTAACTGCAGTACACCTCTATTACTATGATACTGTCTCCCTCCGTACGACCACGCATGCTTATTACTGTACATGGAATCTTTGTATGTTATATAACTCTGTATACCATTGTACGTCAAAGGTGTTGAGTTAAAATAAAACGTTTGAAGTTTGAAAAAATATGAAGTTTGAAAAAGTTTGAAGTTTGCGCAGTAGTTTCTTAATTTATAAATAAGCCGATATATACCGCAATCGCCCAAAATCAAAATCAGTGTTCGTACTCAGGGCAACGGGTTATATGCCTGCTCCTAAGAGGATTTCTCAACCGGCTGGGAAATCGTGCAGGGGTGAGAAATCGTGTTGCAAACGCAGCAATGTTAGCACGATTTATCACCTGGTGGAACATCATGCTGGGGGGAGAAATCGTGCCGTAACAGATGGTATAGTACAAATCACTATGATAATACTGAACTTATACAACTAGTACAGTGTATATATGTTAGGAATCATTAATACGTTACAAAAATGTGTTTTTTTAACAATCAAAACAATAGCATTTAAATGGACATGAAAAAGATTATCGATTGCTTTGCAAGTATTTTGTTAGAATATTTATTTCCCGTTATACGAACAATACATGCGTTCAACGTGTTTTTTTTAATACCTTGACTGGACGGTTCCAAATCAAAGAGGTTCCTGTTACACAAAGGTGTTGAGCAGCAGTCAAACCGGAAGTTTGAAGCGGTTTGTCGTTCGTGCTTGCTTCTTCGGCCTACTGTAACTGGGGAGCTCTTCATAGCGTTACAAGTCTGTCAAATTAAAAACACGAAATTAAAGATACGACAGTCTCGTTTTTGGCTGATTACTGATTGATGTGGAATATCAGCTTTTCATCATATTTGCTAACACTCTGGTACTATATTTTTGATATAAACGACGCTACAAAAAAAATGAATATGCTTAACAAGTATGTGCAAGTGCTGCTGTTCAAAAAGTGAAAGACGCAAGACATTTGAATTAGGCTGAAGATAAAACATGCATCAATCGTTGTTGAGTCCTAATCATGAATCAATCTTGAAATATTGAAAGTATACAAACAGTGGTTTTTTTATTTTTTTTTAAATACTTGTCGATAGATCGATTACTTTATTGTCGCGTGATGCCATCGGAGTATTGTAGCAAACCAGCAGTGACACTGGCCTAGATAGAAAGTTAACTCCGCACACGCATGTTTCGAAAATAAATCCCATCAGTGATGCTGCAGTTACAAATGTCATATTCAAGTCATAATTGAAATATCGTTCCAACTTTTTTTGATATTTATTTATTTTTGTTTTGTTTTATTTCTTTCAATAAAGTAAGCTGTACTTACCAACTGACTCCTGCATGTCATAGAATGGCGCCTTTTACCATTAGTCGTGTACACTGTTTGCTCGCAGATCTGCAACAGACGATGTTGATTGCATTATATAACAAGCCCCGAGAGATACCAGAGTGTGCATATTAAATTTTACCTGAAACGAGATATGTCCACGGAGATAAAAAGAAACAAATAGAAAGAAATTCTTGATAGCTCACCTAGGATAATATTTTCAATTAATAAAACCGTTGAATCATTTGAAAACCAAACATGTTGATCAAAATGGTACAAGAGATGGTAGCTGTTATAACAGGAACTATACATCTGTGGTCTCTCTCGGAAGATATTCTTTTACATATGATCCATGAAATCTTGAATATATGTAACCCCAAATATGATTGAAGGTTATTAACTGAAACAAACGTGTCAGCCCTTAGTCCGAGCATAATACTGGCCAGATATGATTTGCTGCTGGTCGTCCATTTTAACAAACTTCATAGCACTTCATCCCAGCATGTTTCTGGCCAAAATTCATCTCTCTAGCCCTGGTATTTCGACTACAAAAATGTCGTTTGAAAGTTTTCCGGATGAACGACGGACATTTGAAGCTGCACCACAACATAAGCTCACTTGACTCGTTTGGCCAGGACAGCTGATAAAACCGCAGCCAAAACCAAGCATCATTATATTTTAATACTGTTTACCGGGGAATTTTCGCTGCAGTTTAAATTTCGCCTTTTTCTTCCTTCGCAATGAGGGCCAATTTACCATAGCAGCGAAAATAAATAAACAATTACCCTTTATAGTTATTGAATTTTAAGGGTGAAATTAACGATAGGCGAACATGGGTTTAACCAGTAAATGGCGAATATTTGACTGGGCGAAAGTTTCTCGGTATACAGTATTCAAGCGATAAAGGGAGTTTGCAGTGTGTGAATTTGTGATCTGTGACATTCGAAGTTGATGTGATGTATTTTATTTCATGATTCAATGTGTTTTTATAGGACAGTTTATAAGCTCACCCCCCCGTTTCCACATCGTTCGGTTTCATTACACGTCATTGGGTTTATCACACCATCGCAAGTGTAACACTCTAGTCCAGGACCTAGAATTCAAGATATTATTCACAAATACTATTGAGATGGAATAGATAAATTAAAAAAAAAAAAAAAACTTTTTAGAAAAAGAAACATTTTGTATATGGTGCGTTATCAAATTTGTTAAATTTTCCCCCTGTCGAGTTGAGTAACTCTATATGTCTGAGGTGCTACAGAATGCTTAAACCATGCAATTGATCAATAGGTTGGCATTTCATTTGATTTAGGAGTAATATTGACAACGTCAAACTTATTGTTATAAAACCCTTTGGGTGATTTTGTGGTTGTCTAAATCTCGGCAGAGCCTCGGGTTAGACAACCAAAAAGCATCACCCCTCGGGTTGGAGATTTCTCTGTCACACACTAAAGATAGGGGAAGAATGCTTTTGTAGTGTTTATTTGGTAGTTGAAGGCCTATCAAGCAACATCAATTATACGGTGGCTAAGGATATGCTGATGGCAACCCCATATAATTCCTACGTTAACGCCTGATAAAAGCTATATCAACGCAGGCTTTTGTCGCGATTTATGACAAACTTCTAATAAACTCTTCAATGAATAATTGATACTGAGTTAAATAAAAATATCAACAAGAACAGATCATCAATTAAACTGATATTCTTCAGTGTTTTCATTTCGCTTAACAGAGTTTATGCTTAAATGTGTTTTAAAGATATTTGGAATGTTGGAAGTATTGCTTGACAACTTAACAACTAAACTACTGGTTTTATTAGCATTTACTTCTACATATAATGCCGACATCCTCGTCATGGGAACATGTGTTATCTCCCCAAGGCAATCCTGCACATTCCTCAATTGTGTCTTCCTGTCCAGTACAACCTGAATTGCTACGCCATATAGGACCTTTTCCATCACCAAACAGGTTCCCTTTGACAATGTATGGGTTGTCACTGTCAAGATAACGTCCAGGTATTAGTGAATGGAACATTTTAATTTAACTTATGCTGTTAGTTATATTTTATAAATTGCTTTTCAGTGTCTGTTTTAAAACAAAACGTGTTATTATGAACGATTCTGAAAAAGATAATCTGACCAGTATTTGGAAAATTTTCATTCATGGCGTTGGTAGTTATGTGAACGTTTTGCAGCTTGGATTTTACAGAAACTGGTCAACTGAGTAAAGCCGCTAGTGTATTTTGAAAATACGTTTTGTCTATTTATTTATACAATATGAGATATCTTATATCCTATAAAATTAACTTAAATAAAACTATATATAAGTACATACTATGCCATTTTTTTCTGAAAAAGAAAATGAAGTAATATTTAGTGATATTTAGTGATACAATATAATAGGTTGTCTTAATAATGTATTGTACTATTTAACTGCTTTTTCTATTTTATTGTATGTCATATGTCTCTGTATGCGTGATGTGCTGTTGTTTTATGTATGTATATATAATGTGTTTTACAGGGCCATATTGTAAACTAGATGAAAATCTAAATATGTTACCCTGTCTAAATAAAAGAATTTATTATTATTATTATTATTATTATTAAGTAAAATAAAAATACGACAGTGTCAATACACAAGAACCTAATAGAAACACAATGTCGACACGGGAAACAAGAAAATTGAAGAAAAAACATAATTTGCTCCCTAAAATATCGATGATGACAAATGATGCTTTATAATTATGTAAGGCGAATACTGCAGAGTAAAGGATAGATAGTTATGTCGGCAATTAATTCTCAAGAGAGTGGATTGAATTTTGGTCTATCAGAAGCATCCATTCAGGATTAAGAACAGCTTACCAATACTGTTAACCGGGAAAATGTCGCTTGAGTTGAGTTTTCGCCTTTTTTTTCATTTACAACGAGAATTTGTAAACAACATAATATAAATAGCAATTAATTGTTAAGGGCGAATCTAATATGGCGAACGTTTCCCAGTATACAGTATATTTGTTTTCATAAAAGGGGCGATTCTAGGTATGTCATGTTACAAACCTGAATCTGATGCCTTACCTTGGATGTCCTAGCTGTTTACACACAACCTTTGCATCATTAATGTCAAACCCGTCGTCACACACAGTGCCCCATCTACCTTCGTGATATATCTCGACGCGACCCTGAGCTGTTGAATCCCCGCCAGTTAAACGGATAGGACTTTTTTTCCATCTATACATTCGAATGAAAACATTAACTGGCAATTGTATCACTAATATTTACACAGAGAAATCATAGGTTGCCTTATTCTACCAAGCATAAATCATCAATGCATGAACTAGAATATCAAAGAAAGTCTAACAATAGTTAGATCATCACCACCAAGGCGTTAGATAGTAAATCTGGATATAAACTAAACTCAAGACTGTACAACATGAACAAAACGAATTGGGGAAAGTAAAGTCATTATAAGAGATCATAAAAGGCGCTTGTCGCCAACGATGAAAGGATGACTTTGTTTCTCTCTTTGCTCTTCAATTTCTTTACAAGTGCAATCATTCAGTCATATGCTGGAAATCCTTAACGGGAATCTTTTATATTAACTTCAACCTCGTAATGTCATGTAAATTGCCAGTATGATAAATGTTACTGTATACGAATTGCATACATATATTCTAACTGTGTACAATGCTGTCAATGGGGGATGAGTCCTTATTAGGGCTAGGGGTATTTTTAAGAAGAACATACATATAAGATTTGAGAAAGATCCCCCAGTTCTATCTGAGAAATGGAGATAACATTTTCACTATCCAAATCCAAAATGACCGCCGTTTAAGCATTTTTTATCAGTTTCAAAAAAAAAAAGACCCAAAGGTACCTACATTTTAAGTACGAGACAGATCCCTCCGGTCCTTTCTTAGAAAAAGCAATAGCAAACCTTTACCGTTAAAATCCAAAATGGCCTTTGGTCTGCCATTTTGGTAATCCAGTCAGTTTTTAATATATGCATTAAAAATTAGAGACCAAGGGCACATACCGATCAATTTTAGAAAGTTTTTATTTAGTACTTTCTTAGATAAAGCGATCACAAGAATTGTTCATAGACGGACGACGACGGACTGACATCTTTTATTAAACAAGAGGCCCATAGGCCTAAATGGTCACCTACAGTCCTACAGTATTTATTTTTGTTGTTGAAATATGTACCAATTTGAGTACAAAATAGTTAAGTATAATGTTAACTTAAGTTTGTCAGGACCATTAGCTGATCATTCCTAGATCGAGTTTCAGTTAAATCGGCCCTGCAGAACTTGTTTTTAAGTTTGAAATATTTTTTCAAAATGGCGGCCGTGTCGGCCATATTGGATTTCTGATCGACCCGAAAAATAACAACACTTTGTCAAGACCATGAGTCGATCATTCCTACAAAGTTTCAGTTCAATTGGGCCTGCAGAACTTGACTTTAAGTTTGAAATAGTTTTTCAAAATGGCGTCCGTGTCGGCCATATTGGATTTCTGATTGACTCGATAAATACCAACACTTTGTCAGGACCATGAGTCGATCATTCCTACAAAGTTTCAGTTCAATCTGCCTTGCAGAACTTGACTTTAAGTTTGAAATAGTTTTTGAAAATGGCGGCCGTGACGGCCTTATTGGATTTTTGATCAACCCGAAAAATAACAACGGTTTATAAGGACCATGAGTCGATCATTCCTACAAAGTTTCAGTTCAATAGGCCTTGCAGAACTTGACTTTAAATTTGAAATAGTTTTTCAAAATGGCGGCCGTGACGGCCATATTGGATTTTTGATCAACCCGAAAAATAACAACGGTTTATCAGGACCATGAGTCGATCATTCCTACCAGGTGTCAGTTCAATCGGCCAAGCAGAACTTGACTTAAAGTTTGAAATAGTTTTTCAAAATGGCGGCCGTGGCGGCCATATTGGATTTCTGATCGACCCGAAAAATAACAACACCTTGTCAGGATCATGAGTCGATCATTCCTACAAAGTTTCAGTTCAATCGGCCCTGCAGAATTTATTTTTAAGTTTGAAATAGTTTTTCAAAATGGCGGCCGTGGCGGCCATATTGGATTTCTGATCGATTCGAAAAATAACAACACTTTATCAGGACCATGAGTCGATCATTCCAACAAAGTTTCAGTTCAATCGGCCAAGTAGAACTTGACTTTAAATTTGAAATAGTTTTTCAAAATGGCGGCCGTGTCGGCCATATCGGATTTCTGATTTACCCGAAAAATAACAACACTTGGTCAGGGAGATGTCAGTAACCTTCCCATGAAATATTAATGAAATCCCTTTGCCAGTATTTCAGCTTAAGTTGAAAATGTAAAATGTAAACGGACGACGGACGACAGACGACGGACGACGACGGACGAAAACGGATAGCAATAGGTCACTTGAGCTAAAGCTCAGGTGACCTAAAAACATTGCCTCAATATTTTTGTATCAGAGAATGTATCAGGAACAAAACCAAAACAAATATGCATTAGTAAAATAATAGGGGTGGGGATAACCAAATAATGAAATAGCAGCATCAGCATTTGGCAAATAGATGTTAAAACGTTGAACAAGCAGTCACCAACAGTTTCGAATATACTTTACCTGAACACCGGATGACAACATCATGTGAGTGTGAACAAAGCTGAGTTCCAGTTCCGTAAGAGGAATGTTGACAATCCTGTATATCTTCTTCTGTTTCGTCACATTGAATGTTTGTCAAGAGGCATGGAACAGACGATACGGCAGCCGTTCCAGAAATAAGTGATGCCTTTATCCTTAGAGGAAACAAAATAGCAATTGTTTCAAACCAATGATACTTTCGACGATTACACATTTGAAAGCTCACAAAACAGGTTTATGATGCTGTAAAATTACTATTAAAAATAAATCTGAAGAAACATTCCATTTGAATCAAACTTGCAATAAAATCTACTGTCCAAAAGATAAACCTTGACTATGAAAGAAATCGCTTTGCAATCCATAATGTAATACAGTAAGAAAATAATAGCATAACGTTAAGGTTCTACCAGGTCGTCAATGTGACCGTACATTTTACAACTTAGAAACCGCATATTTTATTTTGTCAAATAAACTATGGACGTGAAACGCTTTTCCAAAGTCTTCGCTGCATCGCAAATTAAAATGAAAAGTTTGTGAAAAGAAAACGAAGAATCATTTGACTTTTTTCGCGAAAATATAAATGCATTGTCGCGTAGTGATATGAATATAATCAACAAGAGTTACATTTTTGATAAAAAATCTAACTCGGGATTTGAAATTGTTGGAAAATTATCGAAGGCTGAAGTGGCCTTTGTTAATTATTCTAACCCTCGTATCTTATCCCGCCATTATGCACGAATGCAGATTATTTTGTTCATATTGTTAGAAAAACACCGCCCGGCAAACAACATTTATGTCTAATGAGCAAGAAAAGTTCACTTATATGTTTAGTAAAGGAACTATGAAAAAGTTGATACATTTCTGTAATTGTGATGTTTATTTTCGTGTTATTTTTTTCTTACAGATTAACAAAGAAAATGTAAATACCAAGGTAATCCCAGCATCTTACAAACTACCCGTGCTTCGATGCGTCCGAACCCACTGTTACAGACAGTTCCCCATTCACCCTTATGGAGGATCTCCAGTCTGCCTTCATATGGCGTAGAACCTTCGACAAGTCGTGCCGTTGAATTTTTTGGGACTAAAAATAACAACAACACCCCACTGCTATCAAGAATGATGACGTCAGAGGCATTTTGACGATTTTGTCCATGTGCTATTATATATTCATCTTGCTATTATATTCGTAGCGCTTGAGCGAAATCTGTGATCAGAGGACATGACATCCGCAAGCAGAACATTATACGCAAGCAATAAGTTTATGAAATAAATGTAAATCGGGAAGGTAGAAAATGTAGAAACATACGCATTTGTATTTTAATGAATTGTTGAATATTTATCAAATATAATGAAATATATGTGTTTGAGCAGATTCACTGCTTTAGGAGTGTTGTTGAATCCATTCACTTTATATTTGTCCCTGCGGCTAGCTTTATTCCGATCGGATTAGTTGTGGTCAAGAACTTTACTACAAAATGCTTGTGGGACTTGTTGAACTCGCATAAAAGTGTTATTGAAGGGAAAGATCTAAATTGCAAAGGCAATAAATCTTATAGAAATTGACACAGGATTCCGAGTTTAGTATTTCCAAACTTCATATCGTCGTATCTTTGAACCATGTTAATTTCAATGACTTTCAGTTGAAAACTGTGGGAACAATCGCTAACAAGTAAGTGTTCATTGACAAAGCGACGGACAGACAGTATGATAGCATAAAACACCAACTAAGCGAGCACACCATATCAAGCGATGAATACATAAGATTTCTTCGTCCGAAACAACATGTTCTATCTATTTCTGTGTACTTTCAGGTGTACGAAATATCGTACATATTCGATATTTTGTCAAGATGTAACTCCATTTAAAATCTCATAAGGTAGATAAAGAAACGTAGAATACAACAGCGTTCATATTTTGGAATAAAAAAAAGCATTAAGTGTATTCAATATGTTCACAATTCCGTACAATCCTACATGTTGCCGTGTTTAAACTATATCACTGTTCTTCATTTGTTTTTCGATTTAAGTATTTTTTTAAATCTAAGTAGATAACGAATAGTGTCGTCTGCACAATTATGAAATTATTAATGTTAAAATGTGGGATCAAACATCATTTATTTATGCAACTAAATCTTAATCACTTACAAGCATCACACACGACGCTGGCAACTTCGTTATATCTGCATGCATCGATGTCATTTCTGAAGTTATATTTACTTCCACACAACGATAAATTCTCTTCTTGTCCATTGCAATTAAGATTGGCTAGTCTTCTGTACACAGTCACGTCATCATTACCATAGAAAGAATTTCCTATCGCAGTTGGCATTCCGCTAGATGACAGAACATGTAGCAGATCATATTTGAGGTTCTTGACATGTTCTTTAAAATAACAAATAGGAATTGAGGGCTTATGTCGAGAAGGCGATGCATTAAAAACATTAAAATCTTAAAACGCAACAACGACATTTGGAGAAAATGTCAATATTTTATACAATATTGATCTTCACCACGACCGAAGTGGACAGCAGGGAAATAATCATTAGAAAGAACATGCCTATTTCAAATAATTAATTGTTGTTGCATAATTCAATATTAAGTAATTACCGCATTATATGTCTCTTAAGTCCATTTCGGACTCATCGTTAGAACAGAGGTCAAAAGAATAAAAATCCTCGTCAAAAGTGTTTTTAAACATATAAAGAAATGTAGGAAAAGTTAAAGTTGTCTATGAAACCCCGTCCTCGATATCCAGGGACTCCGCTCAATTACGTTCTGTGCATTCCTGTAATATGTCATAGTAAAATCGAAGGTTCAGTGTGCACCACCATGTGGATAAGACAAGAAGACTAATTTGATCCTTTGCTATTCATAAAAAATAATATCACGGTTGCATAAGGGTAACATTGACAGGCTTTGAAATAGGGTTTCGCTATTCTGTAATGTTTAAAGGATAGTTATGAGCCTAGCGATCGGTCAGGTTTTCTTATCCGATACATATATGATACCATTTGGAATCAATCTACGCATTAATGTTTCCCTCCTGGTTAGTGTTGACATATTGTAGCTGTAGAGATATATCCCTTGGGGTGTCTGCAAGAAGATGTTTTTTCATGTAATAGAATTGGGGAAACCAGTATCCAATTGTTATTTAAGCAGGCAGACTATCAATATTAAAAAATACAAACATTTTGCATAAGCGTCCTAAGTTAAAGTAATTAATTGACTTCATATATGAAAGAAAGAAAAAACATGTCAGAGAGCATATTTTTTCTTCGATACATTGAAACAAACTAAACGACCGTTCGTAAGAGCCAAATCTAGCTGAATACATTAATAAATATTAACTAAGCTGTTTGATAAGAATGATCGCTTGGATTTTCTTATCATCATTTTTTCTTTCTTGAAAGCAACATCATTGTTTCCCTACCAGGTTCAGTTGTTTCGATTTCAAGAGCTGTCTCCAAACATCTCCATGATAGATGTCAATGCTGATTAACAAACATATCTCCTTGTGAATGTTAACGTAATATGACAACATTCCCGAATCCAATGTCAAGTGGTGTCAGATTTATCCTATTGGAAAGCCGAGGATAAATATAGCCACGACCAAAATAGAACAACATCCAGGCCTCTTAGTGAGAATGCAAGATGCTTGTAAACAAATACCAAGAGGTAGAAAATACAACGAAATTGACTTCGATCGTCGGAAGTTCACCAGCAAATTTCGCTAAAACGTATAGCGTTAAGGATATCTCAATTATTGACGAAGAACGTCAAGAAAACATTAGCTCTTGTCAAAATCTCGACATCAATTGTTCATAAGGAGTGTCTAACTATCATTAGGAGACATTTTTGACAAAATTATAGAAAAAGTTACTGCGCTAAATTGACCCCTTAAAAACTGAAAATTCACATCCTACATTCTTATTTTTGCATATTGACAAAACCAAACAAATGTTTAGCATTTTGAATCATCCAAATTACATGTACAAATTACATAAATATATGTCTTTCAAGTGAAAGCAAGAATAAATTTGTGATAAAGTTATACTTTATTCCCAGTTTTATATATTTGTTTGATGCATGCTTGATATTGAATTGTCGTCAATAATTCATTGATAATTTGTTGGTCCATTTCTATGGTATATTTATTTCTTTGCAATAATATTGATGGCACAAAAAGGGATATACCCGAACAAACCACCGACGCCAAACCATCCGTGCACTGCTTATGGTACCCTATGTCCATATTGGTACATTCAGATATCTTATGTTCATTTCCTTGGCAAGTCATATGTGTCATTACACCATAGATTGTGGAAAAATATTGTCCTGGTCTAGGAAGCGGATAGGAATACGTCCTGTAAAGAGTAAATTAAATACTTTGCTTATGTTAGCATGACCGACAAAGTATATCTATGTCCACACCTATTTTTTTTATAACAAAAGGCCCAGTGATGTTAATAGTCCAGATGCTCATATTTCTATTTTCACGTGTCCAATGTGATACATGTGTATTGGAAGGGGGCTATACATAAAAGCTGTAAAGGACCTGTTACAGGAACAAAAGAATTTGGCCCACAAAGCAGTTTAACCATTACTGGGTTATATTTGTAGCTCCCTAAGACACGACCCATGAGATATTTTTTTTAAAATAAAAAGGTCCCCAGGGCCTGTGCTATGAACTATTTAGTGACGCCTTCCAAAGGTGTACGACAGGGTTCACTTTTTTGTCAAAAAAACTATTTATATGACATCTATTTGTTTATCCGTCCGGTCCAACAAGTGATTAATATAAGCAGATGAAATTTGTTTCATAAAAAATGTCAAACAATGATGAATCACAGCTCTTTAGGACTTTTAAAATTTTATCAAAAATTGATGTCATACAATAAATGCCAATTTGTCAAAGGTGTTATCATATTTCGCCATACGAGCGACCTACAGTGAACACAGACTGATATGCCCTAATATTAATTTTATATAAATTTTCTATAGCATAATATAGCAAATCATTCAGGGTATATTTTAAACGGATAGTAAACAAAAGCATAATTACCACGGTGCGCCTAGTGCCCTGCATATGACCTTTGCCTCTGGGGTTTGAATACTCTCGGCACAGATAGGTCCAGTGTAGTTATTCGGGAAAATAACAGTAAGCTGCCCTTTGTATAACAAGCCATTGTTGGGAATCCCAATTGAAAAGCCGTCTGTGAATACATATAAACATTAATATTCTTGAACAATAAATATATTTGGATCGCGAGTCAAGAACAAACACAATATGAAAAGTCAAGAAAAAAAATTTCTGCGTAATAATTTCCATACTGTAAATTGGATTTTAGACATACGACTGAAATGCAGCGCACTGTTATAGTAAATAGAGTGTACAATATTACTTAGTGACATGTTTGAATAAAAACAATGTATAAAAGTATAAAAAGAAAATGTCAGAAAATTTGACAATCAATAAGATGGTCATTTGCAATCTCTATGGATATTTAATCTACTAATTAAATATTTTGAAAACAAAGAACCTACCAAATATGACACTTTAATATGCACAGTCAAATATCTCGAAAAGTCAATTAATACATATTTGGATATATTGAATAATATTTAGAGCACCAAACATTGTATTTTAGTATTATAGCATTCAAAAGTCATTCGTCATGAAATGGTCACAGTTTGTATTGTTACTTCTATTAGTTGTAGCGAAATGACAGGGACATTGTAAAATGAATGATAATGACTATGCTCACACTCCTTAATTAAAAAATTAGATGAAGTACTGAAAAGGCAAGTTAATATCTTGCATTCGGAATAAGATTTGAGAACGGGTAAACATGTTACTCGTCCCCCTGACTGCCTGTAGTATTAGAGTGCAATTGGGCGAAATGTATCCATGACTTTTGACAGCTGAATTTACAGTTTCGGCACACTGTGGCTTAGCGAGTTGTTTAGAGGTTAACAGTCAAGACACCGGTCATCTGCTCTCTTTGCTTGACGAAGTAAACAGACGTTTTCGGTAGCTTGCAAATAAGTTTTCAATTACTGTTTGTGTTCATAAAAACTTAGCCTTTATGATTTTTTTCATGTTTAGTGTAAACAATAGCATTATACATTGATATCTACCACCTATCAAACAGACGTGTTACTGATTTGTTAGGTTAACAAATAATGACAGTTTGGAGGCAGTACCTTCGTTAAAGTTATATCTTTAATATTTGTGAAAGCAATATCATTTGGTTCCATAAATAGAATTTTAAGAGACATGTTTGATTGGAGGACGTATCACATATTGATATGAACAAGAACATTTCTATTAACAATCTGCCTAAATAATTCGTGTCCAACTTCACAGTGGGTATTTTTGTATACACAGTATCCTTCCCTTCATTTGGTTTTGGATATATCCAGTTGTGCTAGGACGCTTCCGTTCACCAGGTAGCTTAATTGATTATATTGGTTGTATAGCAATCTAAATTCCGAAGTTCGAAAGCCGGTCTAGACTGATTTTTTTTACAATTAAAGCATTGTTGTTGATTGTTTTTTGTTTGCTTTATCCCTATTTTTTTTCATAAAATTCCCACAAGGTATATGGGTTTCTTTTTTGAAATGAGTTAGCAAAGCTTAAGTCATGCGGTGAAGTCGGTTTCCAATGCATAGTAACAGCTTTAGCAGTTGTATGGAGATACCTCATACATTACAAGAACAGATTGTTAGTGCATTTTCTTTTTCTACGTTCAAATATATCACATACAACCAGTGAAAAGGCACAATAATCTTAAATAGTCTTGTGTGCCTATAACTATAAGAATAGAATAAATAAATATTTGCAGTAGAATATCATAACGCATAAGTTGTTTGTACTTACCTAAACTACAAACGACCGATACATCCTCTGAGTGTGTGCAATGGATATAACTTAAGTAGGAGCAGTCTTCAATACTTGTCTCAGTTCCAGAACATCCCAAGCCCGGTAAGAATATGCTACCTTGGCCTTGGCCAAAAAATGCTCGATCGATTGTAGACACACTGGACTCATCCCTGTAATTGGACATTATCTTCAAGAGTCCTTTTAATGTGGACGCCGCTATTATAAATTATCAAACTTTTGATACTGAGGTGAACGAGAGAATGAATGTATTCATGGGATTATATTATAATTAATCATCGACCAGACAGAACGGAATATAGGATATCGAAAAACAGCGCCATAGATAGGGATATAATTTACTTCAACAACATAAGGTAATAAATAACCATTACTGTGCAACTTAACAAACTGTTGGTGTAGTTCTACAGGAAATCAAGCATGCGAGTTGGAAATAAAAACGACTAGGGGCGTTAAGGGCCACTTACGGCCTCATTAGCGATTTAGAATTAGTTGTTATACTTGTAATCTAGGGAAAATCAAATACCCAAATATGAAATATTAAATTCATTAGAAAACTAGTGTATGATATAAAGCATAACAATGAGATGCAGCAACCCACACTTTTCACATAAAGTCATCTTGATAATGGATATTAAGGTCATTCATACCACACAACAAACTGACGTTGTTTATACATACACTGTTTTGTTCATCATTCTACAGATAACCAAAGCATCATCCTTGTCAAAATCGTCATCACAAATGGTTCCCCATTGACCATCTTTCAATAATTCCACGCGACCGACATCTGGTGATCCACCATTCACTAACGTTACATTAGTTACTGGTGAACAAATACATAAACAACATTTACTTAATATATTATATCATTTCATACGTATACGTTTCGTTGAAAGCATGTATAAATATGACTAAGAACATTGTATACATACATAACACCGCCCACATGTTAGCGTTGTAAACATCACGGAAACTTGTCACGTTCTATTGCAAGGTAATGAGACAAAACATCCAATTTACTTGAACAACGGCTATTGAGTAAATGTCAGCGTATGCTGTAGATATACAAAAAAACAAAACACAAAACTATTACGTAATCTTACCGCTCAGACTAAACGAACAATATACACAAAAGTAACCAATGTGAATAAAGCATTTAACACAAAAAAAGGTTTCGAAATATATTTTGGTTGACCTCACGTTCAGCGACCAGCATGGTTTCCTATAGGAGTGCCAACATCATGTTGGAGTTATTAATTTCTGTATAACCTTTTCACTGTTTTAAGCAATATCAGATAAATAACCATTTCAGTCTCATAACAGTATACATGAACAGTTCTCTATGTTTATCTAAGTATTTATCGTGTTTCCATTTTCTTCAGCGACACACTTAGATTAATAGAATAGCACAACCCTTTGAGGGTGAGATAGGGGAATCTCAACCCGAGGGGGAAGATTTTTAAGTTGCCAAACACGAGGCTTTTCACCCACAAAAGGGTGAATGATTCTTTTTCTCTTACCCTGTTCACCCATTGTGTATCATATACAAATTTAATGTTAACGTCACAGACTAAATTTAGGGTTGACGTGACATTGATGGATTTGGAATTAAAACGATTAATATGATCATAGCAGAGGAGAGATAGCGACAACTGATAAATGGCAAACATTTCCTGTAAACATTGAGGAATTCTTAAATTTAGGATTTTGTATGTATACTGCAATCGTACAGTTATACAATGTAATTAATAAGACACCTATGTGATGTAATAGTTCTTTCGAGTAAGGGTTAGTGGGCGTGCTGCAGTACTTATAATTCTCTGCAGACGTCTACGTAGTGCGTCAGTTAAACTAAAGAGCTGATAATCGTTGTTCCAAACGAAACTTAACAAGTGAAAGCGGTAAAGACTAACAATAATTAAATGTTCCTGATCTAGAAGTAGCAGGATTTATTTATGATACTAATATGGTATATCTGAATTCACTCCCCATAGTGGCGCGTACGTTATCTTGGAATACAGGTCGTTTTTGTTTCTTTAGACACAAATGTCCAGTCTCCGCTTTTTACTACCAGAAGGTTTCGTGTTTACAATACGGGCTGTAAAAGTGATGTTATGATATATAAATCATTAGGGCTTGTACGTTTTAGCATTTCTTTGTGTATATTCGCAAACAAAAAATAAGAAGTAAAACCATAGCACCTGTATCTGTTCATGACATGTATATTTAAAACGGCTTTATATGTCATAATTAATCCCCTATTATTTCAAAGCAAACCTCCATGAAATTGCTGATTGGGAATGGCCCAGGTATCATCAAAAAATTAAATAAAAAAGCGTATTGCGAGTGATCCATATTCCTCCATCGAAGCGGGCAAGTACTTCATTGAGATGAGGGAGCTCATAGACTCTCGGTCATCCATTTGAAGGTATTCAACAAGACGTAGTCGAATCAATCAATCGGTTTGAAACGTCATTTCTTAAATGTCTAACAACTATGTGGGGATAAGCTTTAAGCGTAGCCGAGTCAACGTGAATTTATGCAATCAACTCGTACATATATTAAGCTTTATGTACATATGCTTCACTGTTCATAAGTATGATGACGGTGGCAGATTACGTCACATACTAGTCATTGAAAAGTCATACAAAATATTTGCTCGTTTGTCCTATAAACGTTTTAACGTACATATTCACCAATCTAGAGGAATGTTTAGAAATAAAGGCAGAGAAATCAATGTATATGCGATTTGTAACGGACAAAAGTGACGTACAACGGACGGACGATTTGTATGATGTATGATCGATATGACAGCAGGGACCGAAGGATACATCATAATAAAAGGGGAAACAACATAGACTACAAAACATAAATAACAACACTGACCCAGCACACGAACGTTAACGTTTCCTAGACTTCATGTGGCACGTGTCGTTAGGAATGCTATTTACTCTATCAGATTATAAAGGTCGTCATCAACTTTAACATTTAAATTGAACCCTTCCAAGAAATCATATCGGGAAATGAGATTGTTGTCAGAGATTATGGCATTTGTTATTGTCCCCGCTTTGAATGAAACAACAAACGAAAGAAAATATGACACAATACATAATCATTTTCTGGTGTATAGATGATAAGTTAAATCTCACGCAAACACATATACATTTTAGCAAGTTTTAGTATACAGTACTTTGAACACGATATAATTTATGCAAAGATAAAGACACGATAACCTAAATCATATTACAATATATATATACAAGTTTGCATTCAGCTTCATTGACTGACAAGATGCATGCGAAATGAGGAATAAACTTACTTGCTCCGCCAGCTAGGTGACCAAACAGGAACCCTTGGGACGAATAAACGAAAACAATATGACAATGTAATAACACCACAGCGTTAATCGGCATGGAAAATTCTGAAAAAACAATTCGGTACAGAAATGGCATTTTTGCCAGACTTTCGAATCTCAATAGACTAAAGTAAATTATCATTGTTCCGTACAAAGGTCAGGAATGTGTAGAAAACGTTCAACGCTATGACGGAATAGATGTATATGCAAATACACCTATAAATCAGATTTCATTGAAATGTGTTAATATCTAGGTATCGACCAATCGAAAGCCGTTGCAGCCATCTTGGAAGCGGAGTTGCAATATAAAGGGTTACTTGCACATTTATGCATGCACAACGATACTCTAAATATAATCAACATATTCATTAGAAGGTTCATTAGATTCTGGCATGTAGTTTCCGAGAAAACAGGAGACAAGTTCATGATGGAAGAAGAATAGCAAGATTTGCAATTTGCGACCAAACGCAGAAACTCTCCTTGACCCTCGCACAACAACTTCCCTCCATACACCACTATCACAAAAAAGTTTGAAAAGCCATTATACCTTATATTATCTTTTATAACAATATCTGACAATATCATAATTTCGCCCAATCTTCTACCAGCTTTCCGGCCAGTCAGAAAAAAATAATCCGTTAATTTTGGCAGCGCAAATACACACATCCATACCAAGTTAAAGCAAAATTTGACATTTTCTACATTTTGACCAAAAAGAGGCCACGGACGCTATGTTTGTTGCCTAAAAAAAAAAGGATTAATTATGGGAGCAACAACCAACAATGATGCAATTTGTATTCAATCAGAGGCCAGTACTTGGCAGTCATTTATTCCCCCCAACAATGTCTATTATGTTCAGAGCATTTAGAAACAAACGTGTAAACATACATTTCACTTGGTTCATTTAATTCCGTAAAGTAGAACAAAGGATTAAGGCATTTATGTCACAGCTAAACAGAGGGTGTGTCGGCCATCTACGAAACGCAGATGCGCACAAAAGGTTAGTTACACATTTTAACATACCGGCCAATTCTCATATCCGGTTTAATGAAAAAAACTAACAAGTAGTTTTTGAGTTTAGTTTCGGACAAAACGCTGTGAAAGAATAATAATAAAATTAGAAACAAGGAAACATAATAGCAACAATATGCAACCGACCTTGTTTATTAATAAGCTATATGATTGGCGTGACAATTTCGATTTTTCGATCGTAAACATTCCTTTTCTTGATAAAATCATCCCTGCGTTCTCCATCTACGAAATGTACCTGCTTTAGTTGATTCGATATCCCTTATTTTGTTTTCGAATTAAAAGAGCCAGCTATACAATGTGGGTTCTTCGAGTGTTACCGTTTGATAAATATTAGGAAAAAGTTGAAGGTTACCAGAATGATTTACCAAGGAAATATTTTTTTATTTGATTTGCTTTACATGGCATTTAGATGAAAATATAGACCGCCGAAGAACTTCTAATTGTGTACTTCTAGCATTAATTATTTAAATATTTCTGGAAAAAGGCTACGTTTGCATAAGAATCTATAATTGATGAAATAGGCGATAAGTATGGTATGCGTTATATCTAAGCTACGAATCAGAATCATTAATTTAAACATATTGTAACCAGTTCTATTGTTTTACAAGTAACTTCAAAAAAAAAAATGCAAAAGGCGCCAACCTTAACGGACGAAATGATAGATGGCTTATATAAGAATAGCTAGATATGTATGTTGTGATTTATGTTGTTTTTTTATTTTTCATGTGTTCGCTGTCGTATTCTCTACAACTAAAGCTATTAAAATAATTCAATTCATATATTATGTATCATTTTTCAATTTTTATGGAAGGATTTGCGCTTCCTACTTACAAAAGTACTTAATACAGACCGGCCTTTAAATAACAATTACTCATCTTTTTTAACATATTTTCAAACAAATGTATAAACCTTTATAAAAGCGAAAGCAATTTTGTATATATATATCATAGTTTTAAACTAAAATGTAAATGTAAGTTTGAAACTATTGAACATTTCTTAACTTCAATAAAGGAAAACCGTGGAACTTTAAAATGGTAAACCTGTTGTATTTGTATAGAAAAAAGCCAGCCAATTTTATTTTTTTCAAGCGAACAGAACAAATTATTTGAAAATGGAATGACATCGTGACACCAAACCGACGATGTTTTAAAACTAATAATAATACGAGATTTTTCTTCGATTGCATTCGTCAATACTGACAGCATGTCAGTCTAAGCTCTCAACCAAATATACGTTACCACTTAAAAGGCAAATCGCATATCCACTATTCATCTTCTGTTGACGGACTGTATGCGAATGCGGCACTATAGACCTTGTCACAGTATGTCGTGTTTGTGCGAGCAGCGTTATCGTAAATCTCTCAAACTTTCTCGGAATTCGCCGACGGAACCTCTTATCGATGTTAAACAACACCTTGACACTCCCACTTTTGACAGCTGACATTTCTGTCATGCATCGAAATATTGATCAGTCATTGTTTGTTCATGGATTGTTCTATTATATATACAACAAAACTAGAAACACCCAATGTGTAACCATGTATTGTGGCATTGATAATTGAAATTTGTTTCGGCTTTGTTTATATGTTGTTATTGTTTTGTTGTTGTGGTTTTATATTCGCATTTGCTATTTTGCATTGTTTACTGATGTTAAAGCATACTTTTATGTTATTTCACATTACCAGTGTCGTCAAAGGCAAAAACTCCCGACTAGGAATTGCAGAGAGGCTGCATTATTGTGTTCATACCCAAATCAGATGTAACAGGGATGATTCAAGAGTTCCTTCCCCTGAAATCTATAATTTAAACTGTGATGCTATGCTTTGATTTGTAAATACCAAAGGTGTGGTCATTAGACGTATACGTTCATCACGACACAAAGTGTAAAATGTTGATTGTGCAATGTTTGGTACCGGTGAGGAAATAGAAAGTGATATATCGTGTCGATACTCGGATGTTAACAAAAAAGGGATATTTTGATGGTAGAAAAAAACAACAAAGTGTGGACGAAATCGATAACATTAGAGCATAATATGAACAAAGAAAAGATTTATATTTGGACTTTGAACGGGAATAAGACCAGGCCGGAAGGCTACAGTTCACTTTGATTGAGTTACGAACAACGGCGGGTAGACAATTTGTTTTGCAAAAGGATTCTCTACGGAAAACGTAGAACGACCCTTTAAGCATCGCCGACATTGCGCTGATAATAGTGTAAGTATATCCTTACTAGTCAAACATGATATGTTGCACCTAGTTGTAGGCTTGCATTGCACCTTGAAACTGTTCATGCAGATACTTGTATTGACAATAAGAGAACCACTGGTGGAATCCCTCACGTAGTCAAAATGTACAAACAGCCATGCCATTTCGAAATTATATTAGAGAAATAACATTTGAATGGAAATCGATAGGTAATTACGAGGACAATGCAGCGAAACTGGTGTAAACGCGCGAATGATAATATAATATATCGCTTCGTAAATTTCGATCACTACGGACATCGGTGAAAACACTGCATGCGGGGAATTCCTCGAAACTAGAAGGGTTCGTAGAATAAACGACGGGATCAAAAGTCAGGAAAAAGAAACCTGTTTTAGCTTCAGAGATCAAATGCAGTCGGCAAACGATGTTTATACTCCCCTGAAGATTACAAGTAACACATTCCAACTGAGTGACAGTTACGTATAGCTGTTGCGTATAGGTGGGGATGGTGTAATATGTGTTGAAAGAAATGCAAAACAATAATGTCTGGAACAGTACTAAACGAGAACTAATTGTAAGCGTTGCTTACCAGAGGCACAAATGGTATACCAGATTGAAACAAACTATCCTGGGTCGTTAAACTATTCTGGAATCAAGTATTCTAGTAGTATCATGTAATCAAGGGCATTGCTTCAGTGTCAGTGGAACACATTGTCAACAGAGATACTCAAGTTCATCTCCCTCAATTCGTGTATGTCAAATTAAATGCGCACATTTAAATAAGCGTATATAAAACTGAAACCATAAATTAATGCTTTTCCAACTCCAAATCATATTAGCAATTTAAATGAAATAGCTTTTTTGCCAGACTTTCGAATCTGAATAAACTAAAGTTAATTATCATTGTTCCGCAAAAGGTAAGGATTGTGTAGAAAAAGTACAACGCTATGACGGAATAGATTTATATGCATATTAAATATAACCTTTATGATAAGTGTAACAAAATATAATATGTGTCAAACGATTTACAAAAAAAAATTGATCTAGAATCATAAATATGTTTTTACAGTTTTAAATAAATCGGATGACACATTTGCTTACAGTTTAATCAAATGCCAGAAGAATAAAGAAACCCGATGCTTTTACAAATTGACCGTTTCTTCTGAACGACAAAATTCAGTCATAGCAAGTTCTACTTCTAACGGCAGGAGTAACAATAGTCCCCAAAACGATCCCTGCACTCGTAAATGATGCTGAAAGAAGTCACTTTATCGTTCGAAAAGGTAAAATACACCTATAAATCAGATTTGACTGAAATGTGTTAATATCTAGGTATCGACCAATCGAAAGCCGTTGCAGCCATCTTGGAAGCGAAGTTGCAATTTAAAGGGTTACTTGCACATTTATGCATGCACAACGATACTCTAAATATAATCAAAATATTCATTAGAAGGTTCATTAGATTCTGGCAAGTAGTTTCCGTGAAAACAGGAGACAAGTTCATGACGGAAGAAGAAGAGCTAGATTTGCATTTTGCGACCAAACGCAGAAACTTTCCTTGACCCTCGCACAACAACTTCCCGCCATACACCACTATCATAAAAAGTTTGAAAGGCATCATACCTTATATTATCTTTTATAACAATATCTGACAATATCATAATTTCGCCCAATCTTCTACCAGCTTTTCGGACAGTCAGAAAAAAAGAATCAGTTAACTTTGGCAGTGCAAATACACACATCCATACCAAGTTAAAGCAAAATTTGACATATATTTTGACTAATAATAGGCCACAGCCGCTATGTTTGTCGCCAAACAAATTATTAATTATGGAAGTATCAACCAACAATGACCCTACACACAAATTTTCATTCAATATTGACAAGTTTGACATTTTTACCAATCAGAGGCGAGTATTTGGCAGTCATTTATTCCCAAAAAAATGTCAATTTCGTTCATGGCAAGTAAAACAAAGGATTTATGTTACAGTTAATCAGAGGCCGTGTCGGCTATCTTTGAAACACAGATGTGAACAAAAGCTTGGCTACACATCTTAACCAATTTTCATATGCAGTTTAATAAAAACCTTACAAAGGTTTTTGAGTTTAGTTTCGGACAAAACGGTGTGAAAGAATAATAATAAAATTAGAAACATAGAAACATAATAGCAACAATATTCAACCGACCTTGTTTCCTAATAAGCTATATGATTGGCGTGACAATTTCGATTTTTCGATCGTGAACATTCCTTTTCTTGATAAAATCATCCCTGCGTTCTCCATCTACGAAATGTTCCTGCTTTAGTTGATTCGATATCCCTTATTTTGTTTTCGAATTAAAAGAGACAGCTATACAACAAGGGTTCTTCGAGAGTTACCGTTTGATAAATATTAGAAAAAAGTTGAAGGTTACCAGAATGATTTACCAAGGAAATATTCTTTTATTTGATTTGCTTTACATGGCATTTAGGTGAAAATAAAGACCGCCGAAGAACTTCTTCAAATAATCTGCATCTTGTTTATATTGAGGTTTAATTGTGTACTTCTAGCATTAACTATTTAAATATTTCTGGAAAAAAGGGCTTTGTTTACATAAGAATCTACAATTGATTAAATAGGCCATAAGTATGGTATGCGTTATATCTAAGCTACGAATCAGAATCTTTTGATTTAAACATATTGTAACCAGTTCTATTGTTTAACAAGTAACTTCTAAAAAAATGCAAAAGGCGCCAACCTTAACGGACGAAATGATAGATGGCTTATATAAGAATAGCTAGATATGTATGTTGTGATTTATGGTTTTTTTTAATTTTTCATGTGTTCGCTGTCGTATTCTCTACAACTAAAGCTATTAAAAAAAATCAATTCATATATTATGTATCATTTTTCAATTTTTAAGGAAGGATTTGCGCTTCTTATTTACAAAAGTGCTTAATACAGACCGGCCTTTAAATAACAATTTCTCATCTTTTTTAATATATTTTCAAACAAATGTATAAACCTTAATAAAACCGAAAGCAATTTTGTATATATATATCATAGTTTAAAACTAAAATGTAAATGTAAGTTTGAAACTATTGAACATTTCTTAACTTCAAGAAAGGAAAACCGTGGAACGTTAAAATGGTAAACCTGTTGTATTTGTATAGAAAAAAGCCAGCCAATTTTATTTATTTAAAGCGAACAGAACAAATTATTTGAAAATGGAATGACATCGTGACACCAAACCGACGATGTTTTAAAACTAAATAATTATACGAGATTTTTCTTCGATTGCATTCGTCAATACTGACAGCATGTTAGTACAAGCTCTCAACCAAATATACGTTACCACTTAAAAGGCAAATCGCATATCCACTGTTCATCTTCTGTCGACGGACTGTATGCGAATGCGGTACTATAGACCTTGTCACAGTATGTCGTGTTTGTGCGAGCAGCGTTATCGTAAATCTCCCAAACTTTCTCGGAATTCGCCGACGGAACCTCATATCGATGTTAAACAACACCTTGACACTCCCACCTTTGACAGCTGACATTTCTGTCATGCATCGAAATATTGATCAGTCATTGTTTGTTCATGGATTGTTCTATTATATATACAACAAAACTAGAAACACTCAATGTGTAACCGTGTATTGTGGCATTGATAATTGAAATTTGTTTCGGCTTTGTTTATATGTTGTTATTGTTTTGTTGTTGTGGTTTTTTATTCGCATTTGCTATTTTGTATTGTGTACTGATGTTAAAGCATATTTTTTATGTTATTTTACATTACCAGTGTCGTCAATTGCAGGAATTGCAGAAAGGCTGTATTATTGTGTTCATACCCAAATCAGATGTAACAGGGATGATTCAAGAGTTCCTTCCCCTGAAATCTATAATTTAAACTGCGATGATATGCTTTGATTTGTAAATACCAAAGGTGTGGTCATTAGACGTATACGTTCATCACGACACAAAGTGTAAAATGTTAATTGTGCAATGTTTGGTACCGGTGAGAAAATAGAAAGTGATATATCGTGTCGATAATTGGATATATTGATGGTAGCAAAAAACAACAAAGTGTGAACGAAATTGATAACATTAGAGCATACAATGAACAAAGAAAGTATTTATATTTGGACTTTGAAATAGAATAAGACCAGGCCGGAAGGCTACAGTTCACTTTGATTGAGTTACGAACAACGGCGGGTAGACAATTTGTTTTGCTAAAGGATTCTCTACGGAAAACGTAGAACGACCCTTTAAGCATCGCCGACATTGCGCTGATAATTGTGTAAGTATATCCTTACTATTCAAACATGATATGTTGCACCTAGTTGTAGGCTTGCATTTCACCTTGAAACTGTTCATACAGATACTTGTATTGACAATTAGAGAACCAGTGGTGGGAATCCCTCACGTAGTCAAAATGTACAAACAGCCATGCCATTTCGAAATTATATTAGAGAAATAACATTTAAATGGAAATCGATAGGTAGTTATGAGGACAATGCAGCGAAACTGGTATAAACGCGCGAATCATAATATAATATATCGCTCTGAAAACACTGCATGCGGGGAATTCCTCGGAACTAGAGGGTTCGTAGAATAAACGACGTGACCAAAAGTAAGGAAAAAGAAACCTGTTTTAGCTTCAGAGATCAAATGCAGTCGGCAAACGATGTTTATACTCCCCTGACGATTACAAGTTACACATTCCAACTGAGTGACAGTTACGTATAGTTGTTACGTATAGGTGGGGGTAGTGCGTTATGTGTTGATAGAAATTTAAAAAAAATGACTTTCTGAAACAACAGTTCTAAGCAAGAATTATTGTAAGCGTTGCTTACCAGAGGCACAAATGGTATACCAGATTGAAACAAACTATCCTGGGGTCGTTAAACTATTCTGGAACCAAGTATTCTAGAAGTATCATGTAATCAAGGTTATTGTCTCATTGTCAGTGGAACACATTGCCAATAGAGATACTCAAGTTCATCTCCCTCAATTCGTGTATGTCAAATGTAATGCGCACATTAAAATAAGCGTATATAAAACTGAAACCATAAATTAATGCTTTTACAACTCCAAATCATATTAGCGATTTAAATGAACAACATACCCACTTATTTGTAAGTGATTGTAAACGTTTCAGAAGTGCTTTGCGAATGTTGAAACAATATGCGAATGGAATAAAGCTGACTAGAGGTATGAGGAAAACAGTCACGGGAGTGACATACATCCGATGTGTATCGAACACATGGTCTTTGATTATTTTACTACCCTTGAGTCAGCTAAGCGTTTTAGAAAGGTTTCGTTTTTAATCATGGACTCTACCGCTCCCAAGGATACATTTGATGGTACAATGTTTAACTTAGACTCAGTTTCTGCTCAACATGGAAAACCCGAGGCGTATAAAGACGCAAATCTGAACACTCCAACTGCAAGTTACCGTCATGATCGACAGCAAGACCATTGTGGTCGCTGTTTCCCTTTCAATACTGAGAGGCAACGAGAATGGCAACAGGAATGTTATTGAGGAGACGAGGACTACTATCAGACACTGAACATCAAGGCACATTTTGAAGGGGGGAAAAGAGAAAGAAAAAACATGAGTGTCAACAAAATCGTAATTCGAAATATAGGCCTCTAAAGCTCGGGGAAAATATAACAAAGGAAAGAAAGATCTGCATGGAAATCATGGGAAAAAGTACAAGGAGATTAAGATCAGGCCCCACGATCATGAAACGATCTTAAGTCTGAAACTGTCTTAAGTTTTGTCTTAGCCAATAACAAACAAAATTATGAAAGTAACGTCAAACGTGATTGGTTAAGCAAAAAGGTCTTAGATTGTCCCATGGTCCCGGGGCAGGTGTTTTGTGAGGGTAAGCGTTTTCTGTTTCATCAAGCACCGCTCTGCAACTGTTATCTAGTGGCAGCTATTTCACAATGTACAAGTAGGTAGGCCGTCCCAGTAGAGTGTCCCGTGGGGTAGGTCGATTGCAGGTTGTCATAGAGACTATGTGCATGGAGATGAATCTCTAAACGCCGGGACACAATAATATCTTAGACAGGATTGGCAGATTTGATATTGGACGGTGGTTCTGCAACTCCTTTTTGTCCATTCCAGGCTTCGTTAGCAATGGTATAACATGTGTCTTCTTGAAACACCATGGATTCTTTTACTTAGCCAATAACACGTCATGATTGAAGTAATCAAAGCAGTGGTTCAAGCTATTGCTTAAGAAGGTCATTGGGAAGCGGATCCAGCGGATCCAGCGGATCCAGCTCAAGAGAATTCGAATGAGAGGTACCTCAACTAGAGCTCTTTCAGTGGTTCAGACATTCAATAATCATTGATAACAAGTTGATATTTGACGTCACGAAGAAAAGAGTACCACGTATTTTAGCGATAAATGTTAAGTCTCCCGAAAGGGAAGAGGGGTTTAATTCCGCGCAAGGTTATTAGCTTAAAATTGTTTCTCTTCAGCAGTATCGCAGATTTTGACACTGTTTGGATTTGAAATAACTTCAAAATCACCACATACGGGTGCATGTTACGCTTTCAAGATTCTATGACTGAAAAAAACAAAGGCAATAACTGTTTCAAATAAAATGAGCATATATTCTGAAAGCTACATGTTGTGGTAATAAATCATACCTAGTCATGAATAATCCTGAAACAGGATTTTATTGTGATATAAAAATCGCCGTTTGTCATACACTTATCAGTGTTACATATTAATAAATCTTCACCTTTCATGTTAATTTTTTTCGGAGAATCTGGTCTCGTACGCCTTGTACATTTTCTGTGATCTCCTCTAGCTGTAGATTTTTTAGTATGTTCATATTTCCATATCAATATTGGTTTTTAGTTCCAACTTCAATTTGGGTGAAACTTTGTTTCTGTTTTGTTTATCTTTGTTTTCCTTGAAAGAAATTAAAAATGAATTGTTCTTCATTGGGTAGATGCAATGGGTCAGATTTTTAAATATTTAATTGATATCTATATATGTATGTCCTAAGTTCGAACTATGCAAAACTCGTTAAATTGGAAATTCTTCCCAACAACGTATATCTCTGTACCAGTTGCCAGACTGTTTCACGGACCAGGTGGCATTTTTGTATTGCTATGTTATTCAGTTTTCCGTATGTCTTGACAAATGAAAAGAGCATGCGTTGGTCAAGCATATTTCACACTATGCTTGTATGACTTTCAAGCTTGATGGGACAATTACCTTAAACTACGCCATATCGGAGTATCTACAAATGCTAGTTAGGGAATTTCCTATTCAGTTTTGTCGCCTTTGTTATAGGCCTTTCTTTTCACACGGATATTTGAAGATTTAACAATTTGGACTTAAGAATAAAATATAAGACCGACTGATATCAAAATATTTTAGGTGTTTCAAATGATTTCGCCATTACATATTGTTTTTCAAGGCGATCTGATATCCAAGATGCCCCCGTACCTTGGATTTACTGCCGTTCTATCCCATAACTGGCTGATAGTGTTATGATTTCGCCACTTGCTAGTATGAATGTAGGGCGGCTATATATAATATGACAATTTTCACATCTATTCGTGATCACAGAGTTGAAATAGGTTCAAATATTAAAGAATTGTTTACAAGAATCATAAAGCTAAGGGGATGTTTTCTCATTCAAAAGTGCATGGTAATTTTACAATATGAAACATCTGTGGTCTGCAGTCAACTAATTTTAAAGCGTTGTTTTCGTAATTTGCTCAAATTTATTAATTTTAAGTAAAGCATACTTGATTTATCCTTCGTCGATTTTCACCGTCAATGCACTGCGGTACTACTCTAAGACATCTTAATGTACTTATATTTTTCAATACATTTTCAAATTTTTAGTGTTTAACTTTGTGTGTTACAATCAATCTGCCGATGACAAATTTTGCTTTAAAACAACTAAAAATTACTGACCGTGTGAGGCTAAGGCAGATTATTTTTCTATTAGTAAATGCAATGTTTGCACAGGCTTTTACTATGGCCGACATCATTTTTAAGAAAAAAAATCTTTTGCTTTCGTAATCTATATTGAATTTAAAAACATGAAACATTCCTGTAACTTCCTCAAACTTTCAGCTTATTAACACGACTTGCTAACTCGAACTACAACTACATTTGGGTAAAGACTGTTATAATAGAACAAAAAGATGAATCATTCGGTTGTATTTCCAATAAGAAATGACCAACAAGGAGATTTTTGCTTCGATATTAAACTCACACGTCATATTATAATTAATACATTTGTGTTTATGTGTGCGAAACATGTGGTGAATACACGTGTCATTCCTGTGTTTGATAGTACAAGTATGTGTTATGCATGTGCATGATAGCAAAAACATAGGAAATACCTGTTTGTAGCAAAAACATACGTTCTATCAGTTTATAATGGTAAATACATTGTAATGAAAAACGCATGTTTAATACCTGATTTCTAAAGTAAATACATAAGATAGATACATAAAATGTATCACATGGAAGGAGGAAAAAAAATTGTATATGGCATACATTTTAAAGGAGATCTGCAATAA